ATGTGTAGTGAATTTAAGCAACTACAGTCAGCTGGGATTTTAGTCGATTTTTACAGACTGCACAGGAATAATCCAGAGATTCCCAGATGGCAGAGTACAGGTTGAAAACCACTGATCTACTGATATCAGTTGGATAATCCTCCTAAGGTTTTAATATTCAGCTAAACTTGAACACTGTCCAAATGGCAGTGTAAGATCAAGAAAGTCGTGAACACCTTCTTTATTTCAGATTTGCCATATATATCCAGACTGAGTGTATAATGATATAAAGTGTATAAACAAATGAAAATTAAAAATAATTTAGAAGCTGAAAATGCATGGTGTCTAAAAGGTTGTGCTTTTACAGAAATCCAAGGAAAGACCGAAGTAAAAAACCCCTGAGTTTCTTCAATTTCAAATAAGGTTAACTTAGGAAAAAAATTAATTTTTCTAATGCATACTTCTAATATTTTCCTTAATTTCCCATTATTTTATATAGGGCCATGGCAATAGTCAAAGTACAGTATTTAATCCTTATAGCAAGACCTCCATAAGTTAATATTTTCTGTCTCCAAAATAGTTATTCCTTTTAACATGTTAATTTACTAAACCGAAACATATTCTCACTATATTTCTTAAAAAACAGCAAATCAGTTAGTATTTAGTTAATTTTTAAATTAAGACTTTTTCCTTAAGCTTAGGTTTTAGTTCCCTAAAAACCTAGAGTGTAGGGCTTCTTACCTGCTGTCAAAATATCTGTCTATCTCCTGTCTTATCTCAGAGAAAGAAATAAAAATAATTCTATTAATTCTATTCCTTCTCATTCAAACCAGTTATTGTCTTTAAAACATTACCTGGCCTGGAAATGGCAAAGTCTGAATTTCAAAGTCATATCAGATATGTGAGCAGAATTCTGCTCTTAAGGGTCTATGCATAAAGTTACAGCATTAACAGTAAGTACACTACAGGATACCAGCAATCTGGAGAAATGCCTAAACCTTTCACAAGAATTTTCTTACTCCTTTACCACTTTTACCTTCTCTCTCTCACCACAATCTAACTGGATGCTCAAGCATGCAGCCAGCTTCAAACACATTAAGTATTCCCTCTGCGATATATGCAGATACTATTTTCAAATACAGCATCACACATACACATGGTCGAACCTGGACCTATGTCTGGGAATGTGGTTCCTGTTCAAGGAGCTTTCCAGCCTTATCTAGCAAAGACTTTTAATCATATGCTTGAGCTTCATTCGAAACAATGAGAAAGATGTGTACAAGTGCCTAACTCTCTGAATACTAGAGCATGTGCTCCGCTGTTTAAAATAATTATGGGGAAAAAATTAATAATTTTGCTATTTTTTTATCCTTTTTCTTTTATTTATTCAACTTCTCAATTTTTCCTGTATTTTTTCCTGCTGCAAATGCTTTAACAGACTGCAACAATAATGCTTATAATACTCTTTGTCCTTCATTGTCAACGTATATTTTTAGCTTTCTTTTGCTGCTTTTGCCTCATACATTCAGACTGGACCAGACTTGCTTTTATCAGTCTTGCCCCCTGCAATTTTTACCTCACTTTGCAGCTCTGTTCAGTTACAGTGGTTTCTTTGTCTTTCCATCAATTGAGATGTAAAAAGGGTAATTTAGGAAGGTGGGAGGATATGGAGTGGGAAGTGAGGATGAGGAAATCTTCTTCAAAAAGTTTTGCCTGTTTTTTACCTTGTCATGCAGACTTATATAAAAGCAGCCTCTCCTGGCCATGGTAGGCCAAACTGCTTTCTTCCTAGCATACCATGGACACCTTTCAACAAAACAGTAAAGTCATTGCTTAATTTTAGGTGCACACATAAATTTTATTATCTTCAATAATCACAAGTTAAAGATAAGCATAAACTGACATGTTTTGCCAAGTAAGAATGAACTCAACAATTGTTCTTACTGTTCTTCATTGAATCTTAGCCTAAAGATTGGCCATACCAGTCTTCCACCCTGCTGAAAAGCATTCACACCTTTTGGTACTGTATGTTATGTCTCCATGCCATCTAGTCTGATAGTCATTTCTTGTTATAAGGAAAAGGCTAAGGTTCTGCCTTTGAGTCTGATCCCTGGGTGCCCCGTCACTAAATCTTAGCTCAGTACAGCTGAACTGCAACTCTTTCAACAGCTGATCAAATGTGCATATCCTCAAAAGCAATGTAAGCTTCTGGTTTGAACCCACTTAATTATTTATTTTTAAGTCGTGTATTCATTTTTAGAACAAAGGTGCTGGTCTATTCACAATGTAATGTAGAAGCCTTTGAACCCTTTTAGCCTCCATTTTCTAGAAGAGTATAAAATAACAAGGCTACACATGTGATATTCACTGAATCCCTACTAACGTCTCCTTGGCATAAAATCCTAAACTATGGTTAATAAAGATAAAGCTTCAAAGTCCCAGGGAGATCTCCACTGGGAGACACTGGGAGAAGGAAGGTAGAGGGCTGGGTGTCCCTCAGTCAAGTGGAAGTAGAGCTAAGTCGATGCTGGATGCTAATAGTAATTCTGCCTAGAGTAACTGATAGCATTTTGTTGCAATTCACTATGATGACCACAA